AAAAGTTCTAACATATTTTTGGGCTATTCCCGCTTACAGAAACATGTTCTTGTTGATGAAATGTTTTTCATAAAACTGATACTGAATGACAGATAGGTATTCAATTGGAAGGATTCTAGCGACAACAGAAATTAAAGTCTCAGGAAGGAAAAAAGTAAATCAAGTCCTTTTAGCATTCAATTGTGTTATAGACAAAGGCAGAAACATATACTAACAGACTTCCTTGACGTGTTCATGTCCTTTCAATGAATAAGTCATCGAACAACACAAAAACAGCGTTTGACCTTTTTAAAGTAGAAGGCAGTGATAATTTATTGTTTTGGGGAGTAGTTAATGCATTGATTTAATTTATTTTGTATTATGGTTTTTTCTCTCCAGAATATTTAGAAAAGTGCTTTTAATCCTGTGTCACAACTGGGCTATCGTAACTCTGTAGGTATACGTTATAACATTGACCAGATACTATTGTTATCAATACAAAAAAAAAACAATAGGAAAAATACATGGCAGATATTATAGGGGAAATGTTTCTCAAAAATCAATATTTCATTTTCCATATGAGCTAACAAATGTTTATATTACGATACTGTGAATTACAACGGCTATCTTGGGAACTGAACTGTAACGATTTTGTTCTGTTTCAATTACGTTTCTTTCCGTAGTACATAAATAATGAAGACATTATTCTTCGTTTCTTTTTCAATTACTAACCGCGATTTCGGAAGTTAGGTGTCACCTACCGGTTAAAGGTTACTTTCGGTTACAGTTCCTAATCTCGACAATCGATCACGTGAGTCTAGCTTGGTAGCCTGCTGCAATGTCTTCCCGATCCTAGTATTCAATTAAAGGATCTTAGTTTCAACTCAGAACTAGTAAACCACAACATAACTAAACTTCCTCATTGACTATGCTATTCAGTAGTTTGATATAAATAATAAAGAAATATTCTATAGATCTTATTGTTAGATTAACAAAGCCTAGCAGACAGGCCAGCCTGTCTAGCTGAGATAACAGAACCCTTCTCTCTGTACTCGTATACTCGAGGGGTGCATCACTGAAGATAAACCCACCTTATAGAGTACCGTTACTTGTCAGAGTATAGTTCAACTTATACTATAAAATATAGATAACACGCGTCAACATGTCGCTGTAGGGTTTTAATATTTGGATTTACATTTCCGAAGGTAGTTGCATTTATAAACAGTTGTCGTGTTAGATTTCTTATTCCTAGATCAGGTTAAAACTTCAGCATTTCGTGCCTTCGAACAACGCAGTTTACTTAATGCAACTAGAAACGTGCATTACTATTTAAGTTATCCGTTCAAGGGATGTCCCTATGGTGCTGAAATGAAGAAAGGAGAACAATTAAGAATGCAAACGGTTGTATTTAAATGTCGCATGCTGGGAGAATTTAAATAACGAACTCAAGAACATGTTTTTGTTGCTAAATCTGTTTATTGCATAATTGCGTGTTCAAAAAGTCACGTGTGTAAATTCTAGTACAAGTCAATGAAATATCTGTGTATGTAAAATAACGTCATAATTCATTGAGCAAGATCGACCTCAACACTTCACCTGTGATCACCTGTACATGTGACACATATAAATGCATGCACGTCAATTTGAGCATACGTAGGAGAAAAAACCCCATACATGTTCTCTGATTAGGAACCCACAACGAAGGCATGCGACTTTTAACCAGTGTCTATTCGTCTTGTTAAATTGTACATACATTGTATAAGGGTAACGTGACCAATGGTTCATAACACCAAGTGCATTTTAGCATGCTTCTGATAAACTGAATAGAAGTTTTAATTTGCGGGGAAACATTTTCGTTTTTAATATTAACAGAAAACATTAATAACTTAATGGTAAGAGCTTATAATTGGCTGTTCAGACAACTCTTGAACAGTTTTCTAACAAACAAACTAACACAGCAAATACCTGTTTATATTTCATCTGCGACGAATTATTCAGTTTAGTGAGTCAAATAAATATAACATGTAAATTTCATGTTTTTGAAACGATATAGTTTAGGGAATTACTGTTACAAATGAATTGATGGATACTATTTAATGTATTATTATCATTTCATAAGTATAAACACCGTTGAATGTATGGTTTCTATTGGAGATTAATTATTGTCATATTCATTAATGCATTTAAATGGTTTGACAAATTTACAAACAAATAATAAAATCTGTTTAAACCATGCCATTATTTCTATCATTGCGTTAATGCACCAACGTACCTCATTATATGTTAATAAGTGTAAATGTTAATATAAGAGCTCTCTAATTATCCAAGTAAAAAGTTAAAAATTCACAAAGTGTTTTACATAGAGTAGAAAAAGTAGTGCAAAGGAAAGAATCCTGTTTACACTTTCAAATAAGCATTTGAAAATGTGAAAACGTGGATATTGAACAAATATGTTTGAAAGAATTGTTTCCGTGATGAGTGAGGAGACTTTTAAAATCAAACAATTATTATCCTCCATTCCATTATTCCGTATTTGCGTATTGCAGAGTTATCTTCTCTTGTGAGCAGGTTTTGATTGTTACGTCATTTGTTTTTGAGAGTAACGTAATAAATTTTTGAGAAATTGACGCAATTTTCTCACACAAACCAATGACGTAACAATCAATACCTGCTCACAAGAGAAGGTAACTCTGCAATACGCAAAGACGGAATAAGAGAAATCTGCATGGGAACAGCATAATGTGTTTATTTGCGTTAATAATAATAACAATAACAATAAAAATAACAATAATAATTCGAGGTCTTATATACCATTTTATCACAATCTTACTGGCATGTCGCCTCAAAGCGGTTCACAAATTATTATCCGTGGTTATAGGGCCTTTGCAACCAGCCAATATCTTCCTCAACTCCCTAGGGAGCATACAGCCGGTGCTGCCGTTTCAGCGCTCACAGCTAGCATTCAAACATTCTAGCACTGCCCAACCACGTACTCATTTACAGCGGAGTAGACAGGAACAGGCGGGTAAAGTATCCTGTTCAATGATACAACACAGTGCCGTGACGTGACTCGAACCCGCAACCCTTCGGTCACGAGCCCGGGGTCCTACCACTAGACTTCCGTGCCTCCTATAATACTTGTTCTTACATACTACTACTGCTATCCTCGAACAACCAAATAACTCAATAAATAATTAAAGTCGGCCATTGTTTAAAGCAATGTACTTCGTGTTGATGTTTCTATTCTAGCACTGGATGTACGTGAAATATAAAAGAAAACGGAATAGCAAACAAAAGTACAAATTGTACATCTAAAGATAAAAGATAAAAGATAAAAATTGAAATAAAAAAAAAAAGATAAAAATTTGATTACAACTTGTGGTACTATCTCAATCTCGAATCAGAATCTCCAAATTATCAAGAAGGATATAGATTCGTGTATCCTCGCTGCACATCGCAGAAGACACACATTAGGTTAGACATTCCATAGTTGGAGAAAAGAGAATAGACCAGAGCTAATACATGACTTAGTGCATGTAATGATAACGAGGTTGTTATAATACATTGGAAATAACCGTGGTGACAACGACGAGGGAGACAGTATGTGGTCAGTAAGGTTCTGTTGGTAAGTTGAAATTTTTAACAAGGATTCACCAACAAAGTAAATTTAAACCACAACTAAACTGAGGTTTTTTGGAATTGTTTTCTTTTTTCCCTTTTTTTGTAATCATTCCATTGGTATCTCCCAATGTTTCTATATTAAGAAACAAATAAGCAGAGATGGAATGTTAATTAAAAATCAAATCACAATAGTGTTCTTTCTATACTTCAAAACGATCATTTGAAGTAAATGGAGGTATGCATAGATTTAGATCACATGGGTACCCGAGTATATATAATTTTGATGTAATCCCAGTTAATGGTTTGATCAAGACACAACATTTTTTTTGATCTAACGTCAAGTACAACCAATGAAATAACAACTTATATACAAATACACATAGCATTAATTGGTTAAAAACATTTAAAATGGACTATTAAATGTGTAAATTTATATCAATGTGATTGCATAGAAAAAAGATAACAACTTTCAATAAATCTATTATTTGATAACTACATAATATAGAAATTGTGTAAAGATATAGAAAAAAACATTCTTGTAGATTTAATTTTTTTCTAACAATAATATGTACAATACATATAAAGGGGCAGATAACGGCCGTCTGCCGATATGTTCCACATTCATATTAGATTTGTTCATGACTACAATCACTTATATGATATGACTAGTTTTAATACATTACATTCGGGCTCCATTAATCTAGACGTCAAGCCCAGTTTAGACACGGTTAGCCTGACTGCTGGTACTGCTTTCGGCCCAAAAAGGGTAAATCTGCCCCCACAACAACACTAGCTGGATGGAAAAACACCTAAAGTAGTGGTAATAGGATTGAGAAGACTTGAATGTATTTCAATATGTTATAATGATAATACATTATATGGAAGAATATTTCTTTTTAAAGAACCTTTGTGGTAAACTTATGGGAGGTTTCTATATTCTCTGGTGCTATTGTCAAGTTATGCACGTGTTATTTAACTGTGTTGTATTTACCGTTGTGGCATTGTAAACTGCGAAATGCGACATATAAGTCTGTTAGTTCTAAAATTATTTACGTTTTATTCAAAAGCAAATCACTTGTTAATGTAAAAAGCTGATTGGGAATGTCCTTCGTCTTTAATTTATGTCGCATAGTCTTGAATGCGACGTCACTACTAATAATAATAACATTATTCATAATTTGGCATAGCACATGGGACACTTATCTCAAAGAAGGCATCGGCTGCATAAACAACATATTCCGTCTTTGCGTAATGCCGAGTTATCTTCTCTTGTGAGCAGGTATTGATTGTTACGTCAATGGTTTATGAGAGTAACGTAATCAATTTTTGAAAAAACGACGTAATTTTCTCACACAAACCAATGACGTAACAATCAATAACTGCTCACAAGAGAAGATAACTCTGCAATACGCAAAGACGGAATAGATAACAGGTATCGTTATTACTGCGAAAGACACTTATAGACTAAAAATGACCAGCTTTATCATATTTAGTTCCAAATAGATACCAATCGCAATATTAAGCACTCTTTGAGATATTAGAATATTATTTTCGTAATAAAGATGTTAGAAGAGTAACAAGAATACTGACCAAAGCGACATCGCCTTAAACGATCCCCGTTCAAACAAATTGATGAAGTATCTTTCCCATATACATTATATATATTTGTTATTAAAAACGCCTAACAATGACGATCGACTGAAAATTTCAAACAAAATTCATAAAGAATGATAATGTAGCTCCCAGCTTAAAAACGATTTATATAAATAAATAGGTTTGACGCAATAAGCGCCATAATCACCAGAACTGTTTACAGTTGTTTTGCATATTAACATAGCTAAATGAGTAAGTAATATTTGAAACATTACCAATGAAATTCCTAGACGACAACCTCGAATACCACCCCCTTGTACAACAGCAATGATAAGTGATTGACTACTCTATATAGTGCATGGTGCCCTCTAATAATCTATCAATATCCATATGTGTGTGTATTGTGTTGGTGCAGTTCACAACCAAAGGGTGATTATTTACGAAACTGTCATACTGTATAAAAAGACAGCTTTTTGTAGCAACCATATGATGTATTACGTGACGTTCCATTGTGTTTGTGATAATGATCAGAGAATTTTTTTTATAAAAAATTGGAAAGTTATTTCTACTGTTATAAATAAATGAAGATTGTCTTCAAGGAAAAGCAAGCTTAGTAATTGAAAATGATAATTATTTTATCTTTTATGATACACATGGTGAGTCATATCATATAGTCATTTGTTGAAGGCAGCATGACGTCATTATATCAATAAGGCCCGGGGAGTGTTATCCCAAATTCGACTGGTATTTCAATCTAGAGTTTTCATAACTTCTTCAATGGAAGCAGTTGCATTGATGATTATGTATAATCTCGTGAGCCTTAGCACCTCATTTTATAACTTGACATTTTAACAGATACATTACAGTCTTAATATAATATATTGATATACCATCATTGAAACAAAGAGTCTAACTGAGGAACAGACATCATTTACGTGAGTATAATGCTTTCAGGGCCCGGTTACTGTTTTTAAAACACTGTGTACCAATGAAAGGTTACGACATGCTCTCTATCAAGAGACTAGTAAAATTGATTTTTAGATTTCATAAACTAACACAAGGTGAAAATACATCTATGCTGTAAAAAAAAATTGGCATTTTTCCTAACTTACATTTTCTTTTTCTCCCAAAAATCAATCGAATTTTTCCCTGTCTGATAAAACGTGATTTTAAGAAATTACGTATCGGACGATTTTCACCTTTCCATTAGAGAACCCGACCCACATGTTGCCTGCTTTATCTGACGTCATAGCCGTGATTTTTACGTCACCATCCAGTACTTTACCGATGACCTTGCCCGTCTGGCTTTCCATGACGAACACGCACGACTCGTCCGCTACCACCAAATTGTCGTCCTTGTCATAACACACATCCTGTGGGTGAAAAAAAGAACTGACACCTGGTTCACCCGCCTCTTCTGGTCGCTTATACTCCCCGACCCCAAACGTAACGATCCTCCCGTAATGTCTGAACTTTAAGTTTAAATATTTGTCCAGAACCACAATACTGTTGGGATTGGCATCCCAGTTGACGATTGCAATGTCTCCAGTGAGTGGACTCTCGGCTATTCTGTGCGGAAGCGACACCAGTTTTTCTCCGGACCTGTCACATTGGGCCACGTCTACAATCTCCGAAATAGTTTTGGAGAATTTGACGAGCTGTCCTGAGCGCAGACCTGCGATCAGATGATGTGAAGACGTAATCGAGTACGGTGTAGCATTCGTTGTAGCAAAGGTCATGGGGTCATTTGTGAGGAAGTTCTTAATGGTGTTGTTGGTACAGCTCAGCCATATTGTTGGACTTTCCCCTTCGCAGTCACAGCTGACGTCACAGATCGGGAAGTCAACCTTGAGGGTTTTTAACAATCGGCCTTTGTCAGACATGAGGCGGACTTGTCGGCTAAACACGGATGACATCCAAACCTCTGCTCCTTCTGACGAACTCATGGCGTACACATCAGGAGCCCCACTCGAGAACTCGGAAATAACACAAACGTCTTGAATTTCTCTTTCCCCACTTCCATTGAACTCTTGTTTCTCTTCTTTTTTCGAATCAGTCGTAATTTTTCCAAATATAACTTCCAGTTGCATGGTTGTGTCGGCACGGTCATTGAATGGAAACTCAAGCTTTGATAAGAGGGGAACGGAATACACTTTTCGTCTTAACAATTTTTTTAGGGCTTTCTGTTTCTTCATCACCATTTCGACATCAGAAGATATTATCCATTGCTGATAAGTTAAAAGTCGTTTTTCAAGTTCTGCCTTTAATCTCCGTAGTTTCTCCTCGTGTTGGGAAATTACTTCAACTTCTTGATTATAGAATTCATGTGTTTCCTTGATCAGATTGCCAGCGACTCCATCGACAAAGTCTTTAACCTGCTTTTGTCGGGCACCAATCCTGCCCTCGACAGTGTTACACTGCTTTTGCACAATCTCCTCCTTTATCCGCAACCCGCCTAACTCGGCATCCACATCTTCCAGCTTCGCTCCCGCCTTTTCAAGTGTTTCCTCCAACTCATCTTGTTGTTCCTTCAGAAACGACTCAGCATCGACGCAGTCGTGGCCACGGTGTGAATTGGAGACACACTTGTGACAGACAGGTTCGTTTTTACACCTCATACATATCATTTGAAGTTGAACTTCTGGATGTTCTTTACACAAATGTTTGTCATTTTGAAAGGCGGGAGCCTGATTCAGTGCCATGTTGGCTTGTAGTTCTATGATATGCATGAAGGCCGTCGTTTGGGGCTCTCTACCTGTATTTGTCACACCTGACACGCCGCCAGCCAATAAGTCCTATCTAGGTGTTGTACGTAGAGGTACCGAGCTTATGTGAGGTCCGCCGTTCTGAGTCTCAGTGAGGGCGACAGCAGCGGGCAGCTCGTGTATACGCTCGTTGTATTAGCCCAGCTCACCGCATCAGTAGCGTAGCAGCCCACCGTTCCCCAATAATACACAAGAGAGAGCGCTTGCATGTGTGTTTGTTACTCGTCTAGATCGTTGTCGCTGTTAAACCTACCACATCAATCATATATATCCCAGAGTGCAAAGTAGGTTGCTGCGGAAACTTTAGATCAAAATTGCATTTGTGTAGAACATAACAGAACAGAAGGTACTAAAGCGGGCGAACAGAAAATGTGTCTGATCAATGATTCTAGTCGGGATCGTTTTCGCTCCAATACTAATCCCACCTGTCGTATAGCCTTCACTAACATATATGGTAAACTAAAACAACATCTCCCGCAATACATATAAAACCGGTAAAACAAAATAGCCCCGAGTACTTACTTCTGTGAACATGCAAGCATTTATGTTCGAAAGAAGCCATGGGCCACTGGAGAGAAAAAAACACTATTGATAGCTATCATTATAAAGCGAGTTGTTAAATTACACTTCAGAATGAATAATAAATCATTGCTTTCCACAAGGGAGCTGTTTGGTGCTGTACTTGTGAATTCTGCAGACATTTATTTGCAAATCAACAATACACTGGCATCAACGTGAAAATTGTGTAGCGCATACTTTCTGGTAGAAGAACACGTGGTGTGGCGAGCTTCTACATTGAAAAGCAGCAATCGCATTTTGATTTAAATCCTATTTGTCATGTTAAAATGGAAGAATTTGTATGACATACAGATTCCTATCAGAAACGCTATGTGTATATATTTTTTGTGAGTTGAAGGCTATGTAATGGGGAAGGTAGACGACAGCCAGAAGACAACATCACAAAAAAATAGAGTCAATGTTGGCACAAATGTTGCATAGATCTGTTGCTATAAGTCATGTTTGTCAATATATTGTATGTTAATAGATAACAAGTCTATTATACGAGTTGACATAAAAAAGTGTATTTCGTTAGGACCAGAAATACAAAGCATAGATCAACATTTAACTTGAAACACTTCTTTCTTTTGTTTATTTTCCATCGTTAATGCAAATTTTCGTGTTGTAACGAAAGGTAAACACTTGTAAATGCATGGTTTGTTTTGCCAGGAAATCACTTATATAACATGCAAGAGTGTGTTGTAAACATTTCCTATCACGTTCCATGTTTGCGTGTACGTTATATAAGCCGGTATAAAGTGAACGCTTTGTACTCGTTTACACAAACAGCAGCATGCTAACTTTAATCAAGCATACGGATTTCACCACAATGTAATTACATTTAGAATCCCAATGTAAACAAGTATTAAGTACTCAATAAAAAGAATCGTACAGTCAATAATCCGGTGTGCTTTGTTCGCTGTATCGTCAGCTTGACTTGGTTTTTGGTGGTGTTTATCTGTACTATTCCGGACCTTCGTGAAGTATACGATGCAGTACTGTCATTATCACACAGTTTCACGTGTTTGTTGAATGTCGATATTTTAATTTTTTATAATATAAGGCAGCATGTACGTCTCGTTTGTTTTGGTTCATCGATGTTATCCTACAAATGCGTTTCGTTTGTTTTCGTGTGTCAATTTTAGACTATCTAGACACACTGTTACTTTGCACTTTTTGTTGAGTTTGTGTTATTTTAGAACAACATACCCAATGCAGCGTATGCATGGTTACGGTCGACTTAGCATCATCATATAGATGTCGCCTAGACGGTACCAATCGATACAGCTACTTATGTATCATCGCTCTGTCAGCTTCAAATTTACGATCTACAATTTTTCACAAATTGTTTTATCATATCATAAAATCATTATCCAACGACTTGAAACGTTTTGTTTTTCTAAAAAGAAATGCTTTTAAAATAAAAAAAATAAATCAACAAATGAATTGATTTTTGACAAATCTATCCTAACGTAATGAAGAATTTTGAAGTATTTATTCCAGTCAGTTAAGATAACTAAACATCCCTCATTACGATGTTGACGTTAACAACAGTCATTGTCATGTGAAATATTCATACCGAGTTACTATGTAAACACTACAGCGAGAGTAGTCCCGATCTAGAAATGCAATAGTTTCTATGAATTACCTTCGATAAAAACTACCAGTCAAACAATAAGCATACTCGGCATTCTTTGTTTGTTTTGTAACGATTAAACATTCATTATCTGTCGGGTACAAATGAGACGATTCAACATACCTTTAATTCCTAGCAATTAGCGTGAAGTATTGACCCGTTCTATTGATTTTGTTTTCATCGGTAGAAAAGCATTTAATACGTATATAAACACGTCAGCCTTGCGTCCTAGCATCGCGCTGACAGAGTGAGGAGTCGCTAGGGATGCATGAATATTAATTGCTTTTAAGAGGATATTCACGAGACCAAGCGATGCAATTTCAAACTCGAAACAGACAATTACTCATCATATGTTGCCAGAGCGCCAGTGTTCAATTAGAGGCTTAAAAGCTAATACTCATTTTGAAAATATTACACAAACCATGGTCGAGGTAGTTGTTGAAACAATGATAATTAAGAAAGTGTTGATAGCTGCAACAGAAGGACCAAAACATATGTTTTCATCATTTTGTGTATATTAGTTCACTATCACAATGCACAAAATACAACATGATTCATAATATGAAAAAAAACTAATCAAAATCACTCATTCAGTTCGATGGATGACATACCAATAATAAAATAGAGTGTTTATTGACAATATAAAAAAACAATGGTAAACATAAAACAAAACAAAACCAATTCCTTAATTGTTGATAGATGTGTGACATATTTCAAAACCTCAGCGACTCTTGAAATGTGTCCCGTGGCTCCTTGCAATATCTGATATTCACACCTGTAAGACTGCCTGAAGGTCATCACACAGCAACCAATAGTTGACAATAATTGAAAATTTCGTGTCTGATAATGATTTCAGACAATTTCCGTGAATGTTCTCCAGACGACTCATACCAGGAGCAATGTTGATGTTCTCTTCAAAAACTATTCATTAAATTTCGAAGTTATGGAAAGAATTTACATAATTTGTTTATTTATAATTTGTTTCAAGATTGTCAGAAATATCTGTCAAATATGGCCAAATGGTTAATTCAATACACCAGCGGTTTTGATTTTAAAATACAAAACCACTGTGTAGATAGAAAAAAATCAACAGCGGAATATATGTATGCTATTAGCTCACTAATACTTCCGCGAAAATAATATTAATAACAAACAATGACATCAGCACGCTCTTGTTTCTAGTTTAAGAAATGAAAACAATCCAGTTATAATTTTACTGAATTACCTAGTGCAAGTAAGTTTGACAAAACTTCTGTAAAAAGCTGAACCGTTTACGCAAATGAAATATCAAGGCTCAATTTTCACGAGCATTCCTTAACTTAATGTTTTGTTTCCATTAAAAAGAAATTAATGAATTTTCCTTAACGTTAGTTTCCCTCTTAGCTCCATTTGACCAGGAATGCTTTCGAATGATAAAAGAATTTCCGAGAGTTAAAGAACATTCGTGAAACTTGAGCCTGATGATATGAGCAAGTTCCACAGTTAAATATCTTCTACATGCGACACATCGTTGTATAAAGGCAGAGAGTGGACATGCCTGGTGTCGTAATGAATAACATAACAAGGGTTCGAGGGACGAGTAAATAATGTTAAAAATATTTAACCCATGAGTGAAATATAACTGCTATCATCAAGACACCGTGGATATTTCAGTAACGATTGCCTTGGTTGGTTGGTTGGTTGGTTGGTTGACGGGTTTCGCGCCTACATGAATCCGCTCATCTCACTGATGTGAGATCTCACAATCGTACAATCGTCCCCTCCTCCTCCTCCGTTCTCTATATCACCATAGCTTTAAATAACATAACGAATCTGTTACCTCTCTTTTATCGTAGCTTCTTGATTAACATCCCCCCCCCTCCCCCCGCCCCGTTGACAAATAGTCCATCCCTCTCATAAATAAATAAATAAATAAGACGGGAAGTGTTGTCTTACGTTATCAGAATTAGGAAACGCCATGGCTATATAATGTCACAATTGACAATGCTATTTTTCCCTCTCCAAACCCTGCTCCCAAATGGTTGGTTTAGTGTGAAAATGATAAACCATTTTAGTCTGCTTTCAAATGCTTATGGTGCAAACTGCTCAAAACAAACGTAACCATACATTTTTCAATGTATTTTGTGTCACTGATGTAACCCAATGTCCCTCCTATCCTCATTAGATCAAACCATAACAGTTTTCTTACATCAAGTAAGATGACGAAAAGTTACTTTTAACACAGTATCTAACTATCGTTACTCTTCAGTAGATAATTTTCGACCGGTGAGATGTTGATGAATTGTTTTCTAATGCAATATCAATCCAACGTGATAGGTAGTGGTTCCACAGCCTCACAAGACGTTGTGATATATAACAAGAGTCCAATGTCAATGTAACAAACTTAAGGTCTGCTTTATATACAAAGTGCTACATTAATGGAAGGTCACACCTTGGACAGAAGATATGCCATTTAATTCATCAGTCCAACTTTGTTTCTGATAAAGTGCACGGACTTCAGAGTAATTGCAGATGCCTCACGAAATAGACTAGTGTTTGCAATCCTTCAATGACAATTTTTTTATGTCACCGGGGTTCCTCTTACAATTAGAGTAATACATAGCGGTTTGAGCAAAATAACAACGCGGCGCTTCCTATTAGACGACTCCATAACGACGTTTCCATGGGAAACAAAAGGTCAATTGCTCTTTTCTGGAACACGGTAATTACATAGCAGCCTGTTCCGACTGGAATGTAATTGATGGAACCAAGAAAGTAAACACACCCTACATCTCTGTGTATCATATCTTGCCACTATTACCCACAGATATTGACGATTACTGCATTATATTAGATATCGACCTTTTATATAACTTTGGAAATGACCGTTGAATTGAACCTCCAGGTTTGCGGTTGCATTTCATGGATTTAACGGCAGCGCATCCTCGACCCCTGAAATGCTTTGTTATGTTACAAAACTACAAAATTGATCGATTTATGTCTGTTATTCATTTATTTGCCATATCATTGAATCCGACGACTGTTCTGGCGTTGACATATGGTGAAATTAAAGTATGAATTCCTAGTATATCAACAGATGCTGCACTTTTTTTTAAACACAGTGTATTCAATGACAACTGTGTTTATTTGTTTGTGTGTTAGGGGTGTAACGTTCTCGTAACAACTAAGGCCATACGAAGAAAGTACTGTTGATATATTCAAAGGTTATTAACTTAGTTGTGTAACTGTTGACTGTTTAATGTTCCGACATTGACGTTTTCCCGTTAACTGTATATTGGTAGTAAGTGGTTTGCAGGTGATTTGACAAACAAAACTACAGTATTATACTGCAGCATCCCTATAACATTTATATCCAAATAAGATCATGATTGGTTGATTTGATACAGCCGCACGTGCTTGGATCCGGTCTGCCAGAATCCCAGTGGACGCGGGTGGTATTGGCTCATATTCATATATTTCTCTTGACCAGTTACCGTAATTACGCTGTATCATTATATTTCGATATAACTGTGTATTGTTTTATACTATTATTAATTTGTATGTTTTGCAACCGTAATTGTACTGTTTATAACCGTCATTATTTTTTATCATTTAATACCGTAATTATTCTGTAGTGTTTGATACCGTAATTAGTTTGTATTTATGTAATACCGTAATGATTCTGTAGTGTTTGATTCCGTAATTAGATTGTATTTGTGTGATACCGTAATTATTCTGTAGTGTTTGATTCCGTAATTAGATTGTATTGTTTGATACCGTCATTAGTTTGCATTTGTGTGGTAATGTTTAATACTGTTATTAATTTATGTCGTTAAATACCGTAATTAGTCTTTATTGACTGATACCATAATGAATATGTGTTGTTAAAAAATATAGTCTCGGAGTTTGATGGAACAGAACAAGCCGAAAATTGTTTTCCCTTAAGTGTCATACCTTCTGATAGAGGGCGTTGAAGTCGGGTATCGCACGTGATTGGTGTGCGGTATGTGACTGTCGGGTCATTCAGCGATAGTCGCACCGACAGTACACATGGTTTTTGATTTTAATTGAGAAATGTACACCTTCTTTATAAGAATTTTCGAATTTCGTAATGAATTGACGGAATGGTTTTATAAATGTGAATTCACGATGTAGGTGTGGGAATGTGAGAAATTTGAGATAGGTTGAAGTGTAAATACTGTCGGCGATTGTGCGCTCCATACAATAAATAATTGAATTATTATTTTGGTGTTGTTTTAGTTTATGTCAGAGAGTGTGGTATTGGAGGGAACCGTAATTAATTTGTAGTGTTTGATAGTGTAACAACTAAGTATTGTTTGCTACTGTAATGAATTTTTTTCTTCCATTTGGTACTAGTTTTTTTACCGTATCGGCATCAAGAAATAATTGAATATAAAAAGTAATGTTTTTTCCCTTGGGAGGCCATAATCATAACTTTTCGTGCATATCTTCGAGGGAATGTCTAAAGATAAAATGTATCAACTGTTATTATTCTCGTTTATCTTTTAGGATACGTTTCGACTGTTTTCGATGAATGCTACTTGCATTGTAAAGGAGCTATTGAGTTTTGAAGCAGTAATTAGGTTTTCTTCGATATTGAATTTGGGTGGCTTTACTTTGAATTATGACCTTGTTATTGAATTAAAATACTCGTGGTATTGAATACATGTGCTATACGATTACGTTTCGGTTCCCTATACTTAGACCCCATGCCGTGTAAGGAATGTTCAAATTAACGCGTTTAACTTGAACAAATAGAGGAAACGTCATGAAATATTTCTGATTCTAAATATCAGGAACAGTGTGATGTCTGTTTCTAGTGATGTAGTGTAACACTAACACGAAGTGGGGCGTTAAGGGATGTTTTGGACCAGTGATTAGTCAGGATGTGACAAGGGACTCAATATCTCCCTCGTAAAGTGTACTATATTAAATAAAAACCGGGCCGGGCGCGGAATGGGCAAAGATAGGCCGCATAAAATGAATATTTGTTTTTTATCTGTTGTATTTGCATACAAAATAAGCAACTTTAAAACATCAGTAAAAGGAAAAAGCTTTCTCGCTTTGTCTATGAGAGTCAGGCATACTTTCATTTCGTACCCAATAGAGTTGATTAGGTTGTGATAAATGACCATCAATATATAGAGTTTTTATAGAATGTATGAGGAACGATAAAACCAGAATTCCGTGGTGGAATTCAAATCAGAGAATTAGTCCTAACAATTTAATATGAAGCTTCCCAGGCCCAGCAAGTCAGCTAAACGTGTAACGTTAAGCTATCCAGACCGAAACAGTCGCCTAGAAGAGCACAGCTGTGACGAACTATAATTTTCAGCAACAGTTATAACCCTTCCAGCAAGACTCATTATCTCTGACACGCATTACAATACCATTGTATATTAAATAAAACAGTCAGATCTTCTTGGCGGATCTGTTTACCGATATATATACCCTGCAGACTCGCAAACTTCAGGACAGCTGTTTGTCCACTCCCAATCGTACAATCGTCCCCTCCTCCTCCTCCGTTCTCTATATTACCATAGCTTTATCGTAGCTTCTTGATTACCTTCCCTCCCCTCCGCCCCCCCCCNCTTTAAAATCAATAAGTGTTCAACAATCAAAAACAAAAATTCTTAGGGACTTGTCCATGTACATGTCACACGCATTTTGCGTATACTCAAGTAGAGTACTGGACGGGATCTCCACATATGTATATTATCAATTACCCCAAAAGTGCATCAGCTGATAAAGCCAATTCTCTCGAATGATAAGGTTTTACCGAAATATATATTAATTTCTGTTTATTCCCGCAACTAGTCAGCAGCTTATATTCCGTATAAACTAATACCTTTATCTAGGTTGCAATCTAATCTCTATATGTATGCTAATAATCAATATATATGATTATATTATCCGCTTGCGTTATGAGAATCCATACTGTAATTGCAATACCCCCGAAATACTCGCCTTATTAGTGTGACACTGGTGTGGTGTATTGGCGCGAACTCGAGGTCTCGAACTCCTATCACCTAACACACTAGGGTATCTGCCGACCCCAGACCTCGTACGTCAAGCGATCAATATCTCTTCATTTATACGAGAGTTCACACGAAAACTGAACAATCCGCTATGATTTGGTGTCATTACCCCAATTGATTTTCATTCTGCTGACACGTCTTATAGAAAACAAGCATTACTGTCGATTGTTTGGTAGACATTGGCCATTTAAGTGCTCCCAGAATCAATTGTCGGTCGCACATTAAAACAGAAATCTTTCAATGAGTACTACTCTGTATTCGTCAGTGGTAAATTATATACTGTACAACACATAATGTAGGTGATTATTAATTCCTGTTTTTGCAATTTTCACAAACGAACGATTCAAGAAGATATAAAGTCAAGAAAACGATTATTACAGTGCATATATATGTATCTGAGACTTGACCATCGATTCAACATTAGGTTGACCGTCCATACTGAGAAGATAGTGACTACGTCTTCAGCCTTTGACCTCATCATTAGCTCGACCCTCCACACTCATGATATGGTGCCCACATCTTCAGCCTTTGACCTAGATATTAGCTCGACCCTCCACACTCAGGAGATGGTACCTACATCTTCAGCCTTTGACCTATATATTAGCTCAACCGTCCACACTCAGGAGATGATACCTACATCGTCAGCCTTTGACCTCATCATTAGCTCGACCCTCCACACTCGGGAGATGGTACCTACATCTTCAGCCTTTGACCTATTTATTAGCTCAACCCTACACACTCAGGAGATGGTACCTACATCTTTAGCCTTTGACCTCATCATTAGCTCGCCCCTCCACACTCGGGAGATGGTACCTCCATCTTCAGCCTTTGACCTATTTATTAGCTCAACCCTCCACACTCAGGAGATGGTACATACATCTTCAGCCTTTGACCTATATATTAGCTCAACCGTCCACACTCAGGAGATGGTACCTACATCGTCAGCCTTTGACCTCATCATTAGCTCGCCCCTCCACACTCGGGAGATGGTACCTACATCTTCAGCCTTTGACATCTTCATTAGCTCGACCCTCCACACTCAGGAGATGGTACATACATCTTCAGCCTTTGACCTCGTCATTAGCCCGACCCTTCACACTCAAGAGATTGTACCTACATCTTCAGCCTTTGAACTCATCATAAGCCCGACCCTCCACACGCAGGAGATGGTACCTACATCTTCAGCCTTTGAACTCATCATAAGCCCGACCCTCCACACGCAGGAGATGGTACCTACATCTTCAGCCTTTGAACTCATCATAAGCCCGACCCTCCACACGCAGGAGATGGTACCTACATCTTCAGCCTTTGACCTCATCATTTGCTCGACCCTCCCGCTCGACCCCGACCCCTATTATTTTATCATCATAGCTGCAACACTAGACTCAAATCCATTGAATGTTCAATTGAAAACTGAAAAGCAATCAGATGCATAGCTTTAAAATCAATAAGTGTTCAACAATCAAAAACAAAAATTCTTAGGGACTTGTCCATGTACATGTCACACGCATTTTGCGTATACTCAAGTAGAGTACTGGACGGGATCTCCACATATGTATATTATCAATTACCCCAAAAGTGCATCAGCTGATAAAGCCAATTCTCTCGAATGATAAGGTTTTACCGAAATATATATTAATTTCTGTTTATTCCCGCAACTAGTCAGCAGCTTATATTCCGTATAAACTAATACCTTTATCTAGGTTGCAATCTAATCTCTATATGTATGCTAATAATCAATATATATGATTATATTATCCGCTTGCGTTATGAGAATCCATACTGTAATTGCAATACCCCCGAAATACTCGCCTTATTAGTGTGACACTGGTGTGGTGTATTGGCGCGAACTCGAGGTCTCGAACTCCTATCACCTAACACACTAGGGTATCTGCCGACCCCAGACCTCGTACGTCAAGCGATCAATATCTCTTCATTTATACGAGAGTTCACACGAAAACTGAACAATCCGCTATGATTTGGTGTCATTACCCCAATTGATTTTCATTCTGCTGACACGTCTTATAGAAAACAAGCATTACTGTCGATTGTTTGGTAGACATTGGCCATTTAAGTGCTCCCAGAATCAATTGTCGGTCGCACATTAAAACAGAAATCTTTCAATGAGTACTACTCTGTATTCGTCAGTGGTAAATTATATACTGTACAACACATAATGTAGGTGATTATTAATTCCTGTTTTTGCAATTTTCACAAACGAACGATTCAAGAAGATATAAAGTCAAGAAAACGATTATTACAGTGCATATATATGTATCTGAGACTTGACCATCGATTCAACATTAGGTTGACCGTCCATACTGAGAAGATAGTGACTACGTCTTCAGCCTTTGACCTCATCATTAGCTCGACCCTCCACACTCATGATATGGTGCCCACATCTTCAGCCTTTGACCTAGATATTAGCTCGACCCTCCACACTCAGGAGATGGTACCTACATCTTCAGCCTTTGACATCATCATTAGCTCGACCCTCCACCCTCAGGAGATGGTACATACATCTTCAGCCTTTGACCTCATTATTAGCTCGACCCTCCACACTCAGGAGATTGTACCTACATCTTTAGCCTTTGACCTCATCATAAGCCCGACCCTCCACACTCAGGAGATGGTATATACATCTTCAGCCTTTGACCTCATTATAAGCCCGGCCCTCCACACTCAGGAGATGGTTCCTACATCTTCAGCCTTTGACATCTTCATTAGCACGACCCTCCACACTCAGGAGATGGTACATACATCTTCAGCCATTGACCTCATCATTAGCTCGACCCTCCACACTCGGGAGATGGTACCTACATCTTCAGCCTTTGACATCATCATTAGCTCGACCCTCCACACTCCGGAGATGGTATATACATCTTCAGCCTTTGACCTCATTATAAGCCCGCCCCTCCACACTCAGGAGATGGTACCTACATCTTCAGCCTTTGACCTCATTATAAGCCCGCCCCTCCACACTCAGGAGATGGTACCTACATCTTCAGCCTTTGACCTCATCATAAGCCCGACCCTCCACACTCAGGAGATGGTCCCTACATCTTCAGCCTTTGTCCTATATATTAGCTCAACCGTCCACTCTCAGGAGATGATACCTACATCGTCAGCCTTTGACCTCATCATTAGCTCGACCCTCCACCCTCATGATATGGTGCCCACATCTTCAGCCTTTGACCTAGATATTAGCTCGACCCTCCACACTCAGGAGATGGTCCCTACATCTTCAGCCTTTGACCTCATCATAAGCCCGACCCTCCACACTCAGGAGATTGTACCTACATCTTTAGCCTTTGACCTCATTATTAGCTCGACCCTCCACACTCAGGAGATTGTACCTACATCTTTAGCCTTTGACCTCATTATTAGCTCGACCCTCCACACTCAGGAGATTGTACCTACATATTCAGCCTTTGACATCATCATTAGCTCGACCCTCCACACTCAGGCGATTGTACCTACATATTCAGCCTTTGACATAATCATTAGCTCGACCCTCCACACTCAGGAGATGGTCCCTACATCTTCAGCCTTTGTCCTATATATTAGCTCAACCGTCCACTCTCAGGAGATGATACCTACATCGTCAGCCTTTGACCTCATCATTAGCTCGACCCTCCACCCTCATGATATGGTGCCCACATCTTCAGCCTTTGACCTAGATATTAGCTCGACCCTCCACACTCAGGAGATGGTACCTACATCTTTAGCCTTTGACCTAATCATAAGCCCGACCCTCCACACTCAGGAGATTGTACCTACATATTCAGCCTTTGACATCATCATTAGCTCGACCCTCCACACTCCGGAGATGGTATATACATCTTCAGCCTTTGACCTCATTATAAGCCCGGCCCTCCACACTCAGGAGATGGTACCTACATCTTCAGCCTTTGACATCATCATTAGCTCGACCCACTCATGATATGGTGCCCACATCTTCAGCCTTTGACCTAGATATTAGCTCGACCCTCCACACTCAGGAGATGGAACATACATCTTCAGCCTTTGACCTCAGCATTAGCTCGACCCTCCACACTCAGGAGATGGTACCTACATCTTCAGCCTTTGACATCATCATTAGCTCGACCCTCCACACTCAGGAGATGGTATATACATCTTCAGCCTTTGACCTCATTATAAGCCCGACCCTCCACACTCAGGAGATTGTACCTACATCTTCAGTCTTTGACATCATCATTAGCTCGCCCCTCCACACTCAGGAGATGGTACATACATCTTCAGCCTTTGACCTCATCATTAGCTCGACCCTCCACACTCAGGAGATTGTACCTACATATTCAGCCTTTGACATCATCATTAGCTCGACCCTCCATACTCAGGAGATTGTACCTACATCTTCAGCCTTTGACATCATCATTAGCTCGACCCTCCACACTCAGGAGCTGGTACCTAAATCTTCAGCCTTTGACATCATCATTAGCTCGACCCTCCACACTCAGGAGATTGTACCTACATCTTCAGTCTTTGACATCATCATTAGCTCGACCCTCCACACTCCGGAGATGGTATATACATCTTCAGCCTTTGACCTCATTATAAGCCCGGCCCTCCACACTCAGGAGATGGTACCTACATCTTCAGCCTTTGACCTCATCATTAGCTCGACCCTCCACACTCAGGAGATTGTACCTACATCTTCAGTCTTTGACATCATCATTAGCTCGCCCCTCCACACTCAGGAGATGGTACCTACATCTTCAGCCTTTGACATCATCATTAGCTCGACCCTCCACACTCTTGGACTCTTCTGCAATAAGAAGTAAATGGAGAAAAGAACACGTGCTGCCACTGGGGATCGAACCAGTGACCCCATCTCTCTAGTCGACCTTCTGGTACTTGTTCTTCCGAGGCGAAAGACGGGGTCGCTTTTTTGATCCCCAGCAAAAAGCAAGCACCTCATATTTATTGCACACGGGTCTTATGGAATGGTGATGAGCTAAAAATAAAATAGTACTAAGTTAACTGTTTTAACAAATATAACTGTAGAACGTATGTAGGCCTACTTCACTCCCTGGTAAACCTATACTGATGTCTGTAGATCGGTGTCCTATAATCCTCTATAATTCGGTCTCCGACAGTCCTGAAAATCGTGTTCCTTAATATATGAGTGATGTTTTTCCAGGAACTGAATGATATTTTTAAGTTCAATAATACGCTTGAGGAACCCATTTTGTCTTTATGTTCTATCAAAAAAGGGAAATATAATTAAAGGAAAGTACCAAAAAAAAATCAGACCATGTGTTCAGGAAGGGTAAGCGTCAATTGCGATGTCAACATATGTGTTAATAAAAGTCATGTTACGGTAATATCACGTTCTTAAATTGAGAACCGGAGAAGTGACAAGGAAAATATATTACACTTCAATGAATTATAATTAATCTAGATTCCCTTTAAACAATCCCCAACTCTTTTTTTTTTTTTATTCAAAAAGTTCAAGAGCAGGTGCATATAACAGGTTGGATAGGGGCATCCTAAGTCGGGGTGCCATATAACATATATAACAAGCTGTTTATTGATACAGAATACTACACGGCTCGTTTGTTAGTTGAAAGTCGGGCGTCCGAGGATAATGGTCCGAGTGTCGGTAATTAGGGTTGTTCTCGTTTATAGCAATTACACGCTGCAACATCTATTATACATGGTTGTACACACTGTGACCTCTGCCTTAACAGTAGGAATACGTACCAATAGTTTCCCGCTCGCGCGTAACGTGGGACTAATTTCCCGGAGGATCCGGTATAGGTATAAATCGCGGACCTGTATCGATTTGGCGAGTTGCCCTCGACAATATGTAGACACGCGTTAATTACCTGCAAAATATCCGCATATAGGGTGTGTCAATCTCACCTGTCCCGTCCGTTATTTCTGGATAGATTAGATAATATGTATAATCAAGATAGGTTGGCAGCCAGGGCAAATGAGATACAAGATCTACTGCAACTTAAACCAGCACTTGAGGTTTACTATTCTCCAGCACGCTGTTTCTCCTATTCTTCAACCAGCTGTGGTCACTCTATATTCCAGCTTATCCCTAGTTTAGAAAACGTCGGGGCACTCTAATGTCAACGTGAGACCATATTGTCCCTTTATATGTGATTGTTATCATAATCAGAGAACGTTGAACATTCGACGTAAAAATAGATAAATTAGTTGTCCAGATATATCGGTTTTACAATTCCTTTGGACTAACTGTGATATGACTATTTCTCCTTAGTTTATTTTTCATCGATTCCAACATGGTTATGACGGATGCATGTTAACCTTTTTTCACAAAAACGAAATTCCATGGACATTTTCCAATTTTATTAGCTGTCACAATGACAGACGATTTCCTCAAACAATGTGAGATCTATCAACATTTCTCATTACATTAATTATACTTTAGAATTTCCCTTCTGGTTTGTTTTGTTTGGTTTGTGGTTTGAGGTCAACGCAACGTCTAAGGTCAGATATTGACGGGTGCCTAGATAGGGAGATAGAAAAGATGGAGTATATAGGGAAAAGATGGAGTACACAGGGAAAAGATGGAGTATATAGGGAAAGGATGGAGTATATAGGGAAAAGATGGAGTATATAGGGAAAATATGGAGTATCAAACGAATATTGATTATAGAGTCAAAACGGTAATGATCATCTTCCATTGGGTACGATGACAATGGTTTGTTGCTCCTTTAACTCACGATGATATTGGTTCGTTGCTTATTGCTGTGTACTAAGGTATTTTGTCTAATTAAGACTACATTGAGAAAAATATTGTTGCTAGTATATGGAAGCTTGTATATCGTTTCTTGACACAGGCAACGATTCGCTGTTCTATTGACTAGCAATGATCATTGTTAATTGCTTTGCTCAGTTGCCTCTCTACGCTACATGTGTACACGTGTGTCTTGGTTACACAAGTGTAAGTGTCTCTTGGCTACATATATACGAGTGTCTCTTAGTTACAGATGAATTGTGTCTTGGCTACATGTTCACAATTGTCTCTAAACTACATGTGTATCGATGTCTCCTGGCTATATTTGTACACTTGTCTGTTGGTTACATGTGTACACTTGTCTCTTTGTTACTTGTGTATCGTTGTCTC